AAATGATGGCTGCCCTGTTCTTCTGGGGCTGCTTTGAAAGCCACAGCGGAGAAGGATGAAGACGCCTGCACCTCCTCAGCTGCAGGGTCGCACACGGTCGTCTCTGCCTGAAAAACGTCCAAGGTCGATGCCCAGAATACCGATGCCCAAAGGGAAGGATGCAAGGACAGCAAAATCCAATGCTGGCTCACAAGCAGCGTGAAAGCAAACCACCCACCCTCCCTGGATGGGGAACAGCACGGTCACAAAGCCCAGGACCTGCGCAGTCTCCCGAAGGCTGAAGAGGAACATTTTGCTTACTGAGGCTGGCTTTGATCCCCCGAAACTGGGATCTGAGCTTTCTCTCGCTGTGGGCAGATTGAAATCACAAGCACTTTTCATCCCGGAAGCAGCGCAGGAGAGCCTTTCAGCTCTTCGGTTACACAATTGGCCAGGTGCACGCTGAATTTTTTTTTCCTTTTTTTCCACCTTCCTCTGCAGCATCTGGAGTGGGTCATTGCCAAAAGCAAGGTACTGGGCCGTCGGGTCTGCTCAACCAGAGCAAAACCGGCATTCAAAAAAGAAATAAGGTTCATCAAGGGCCCATGATGCAGCACCAAAATATGTACGATATCGGTGGCATCTGTGATGTACTCTTTGTGCTCCATCTTTCCTTCGCTCTGTCACACCCTCTCACGCTCTCTCGCAGTGAATCAACCTACCCATAGATTTCACATGGATTTCAAGAAAGGTGTCTGGACCCTGCCCGCCTGCCCGATGGCACTGGGGGCTCCTGGCCAGGCACGACCCCATCCCCAGGGAGGAAGCCAGCCAGCTCGGCCCCGGGGACTCCGCAGGGATGGGGGAAATGCAGCGTGCGCAGACACTGCTCCCTGCACGGCACCAGCCTCCAGAGAAGCGGCACTGACGAGCCCGCTGAGATACCTCCGACCGGGACACGGCGGGATCCAACCAGCCCTTCCTCACGTCCCTCATTTGCCTGCAAGATTCTTCCCTCCTTTTTTTCTTTTTTTTTAACTTAATTTTTTCTCTTTTCTTTTTTCTATTCTGGGCTTTGAGAGCTTGTGTTTTTTTAGCCTTTTTAAACTGCCAAGCACTTGATTCGCGGTTACTATTTTTATGCCGGCAGCGCAGGGCTCGGGCCCGGCAGTGCCAGATGCTGCACCTCCACGTGCTGACACATGCCCCGCTGAAGCTCCTGTCTGAACAAACAAGGAAGATGGATGGGGCGAGCGGGGAGATTTGCTGACACAGCCCGGCTCCCTCGCTGCCTCGGTGGCACGCTGCCTAGCGAGCAGCTCCCTGTCACTTAACGTGGCTTGCAGCAATTACCGTGTTCTTTTTTTCCCAGTTTATACAAGCCGTTTCACAGAATCACAGAATGTTAGGGGCTGGAAAGGACCTCTGTGGGTCACCCAGTCCAACCCCCTGCCGAAGCAGGGTCACCCAGAGCAGGCTGCACAGGACCTTGTCCAGGCGGGGCTTGAATATCTCCAGAGAAGGAGACTCCACAGCCTCCCTGGGCAGCCTGGGCGAGGGCTCCGTCACCCTCAGAGGGAAGAAGTTCTTCCTCATGTTCAGCTGGAACTTCCTCTGCTTCAGTTTGTGCCCGTTGCCCCTTGTCCTGTTGCTGGGCACCACTGAAAAGAGTCTGGCCCCGTCCTCCTGACCTCCACCCTGCAGATATTTATCGGCATTTCTAAGGTCCCCTCTCAGCCTTCTCTTCTTCAGGCGGAACAAGCCCAGCTCCCTCAGCCTCTCCTCGTAGGAGAGATGCTCCAGTCCCCTCCTCATCCTCGTAGCCCTGCGCTGGACTCTCTCCAGTAGCTCCTCATCTTTCTTGAACTGGGGAGCCCTCCCTTGCCATGACTCTTGCAAGACCAAAATGAGACCGACGCAAGTATGAGGGCTCCTGTGGCCTCAAGGGTGACCCACCAGCACGTGACTTGGCTCTTTCTGCTTGCAAAGATGAAACCAGCTAGAAGTCCTTGACAAGGCGAAGCAACGGGATTTGCTGTGTTCTCCAAGCGCTGGGCGAGGAGCAGGGGCAGCAGTCCCCGAACCTGCGCCTGCCTCTCTTGAGCCTTGAGTCCAATTAGTCATTTTTTATTTTCCCCTCATATGTTTTTCCAATGTAATTTGGAGCATGAGTTGTTAAGTTTCCCCAACAAGTGTTGCCATAGGAGCCTGTATTTGTTTAGGGTGGGGTACGGGCTCCAGCGGGTCGAGAGGAGGGGGCAATTAGCCCTAATAGGTGTAGAGAGAAACTGAGAGCCTCTCCTTCCCCATCCTGTCCCTGTCTCGGTCCTCCCCCTACCTTGCACGCAAGATCTGGAAATCGTTTCAGACCTGCGCAGCCGGTGTGGGCAAACCTCCCCATAATTGTATGGAAACTACCGAAGCGGCGGGTGTTGTTTTGCCAGTGAGTCATGACATATGGAGCAAAGCTCAAGGAAAAACTCCACCGCGTGGAAGGCTGCAAAAGCAAATCACACCCAGAAGAGCTCTCCCCTGCCAGCGGCCCCGGCCGGTCCCCTGCCTGCATCCCTGCAGCAGCCAGCCCCAGCATCCCTGCCCTGGCCCTCGCGGTGCTCAAAGTTGCTTGGTGGCTCAGAGACCTTCTTTGATCACCATCATTTAAAACCCACCGATGCTTTCCAATGGAAGAGGAGCGTTAACCCTGTTGTCTTGGTGAAGCTGCACCCCGGTCTCCTCTGGATGTGGTTTGTGACAGCAGTAACAGGAGCCAAATCCCTTCTTGTTTTTGAGTGAGCTACCTAACTCAGCTGTGCCTCAATTTCCCACCTGTAGGAAGGCACATTCTTTCTTCTTCTTCTTCTCTTGTGAGATCTTCCAGGCAAATGCAATCTCTCTGTGGCTGCCTGGATTTGGCCCGGGGACTGCGGTACTGATAGCACAGACAGACTCTGTGGTTTGCCATCATCCCTGCTGCTACTTCCTAAAGTGACATTAGCCTGCATTGACCCCATTTCAGTTCCTCGTGAGTCACCATGACAAAAAGCCACACCAGTTCCCTGGTTTTGGCATGGCATGTGAATTATTTGCGTTATCACCAGCCCTGTGTGTTGGCTTCAGTGCAGCTGACGCAGGGCCATCGCGGTGCAGTGACATTTTTCAGCTGGCTATCATTCGGTTTAGGGGTGCTACGGGCTACTGTCCACCAAACGCTGGGTCCAGGTATTTTTTCTGAAGCCCGGTTATCCTTTGGGGCCACCAGATCTAGTGAAAAGTGGTCAGCTGCTTCCACGAGCAAAGGGGCGGCCAGGTTTCCACCAAGAGCCCTTTCTGATGACACCAGTCCTGCTGGAGGTCGGCCACGGTTGCTGGGCCAGTAGCTACCATCACAGAGCCTGGAGCGGGAGAAGCATTTCATTACTAATCGCTCAGTTAATGAATGGCCTCTCTGCTCTGTTAGCACATTCAGTTGCTGCTTGGCAGTGCTGAAGTGTATCTGTGAGAAATAAACCTCGGCTGCAGATTGCTCCTGACAGTTCATCGCAAGCGCTTCACACGCACGTTGTTCGCTTGCACCGGTCCCACAGCACTGTTTCTCAGCCCCAGTTGGCTGCTTCTCAGCCCCGGTTGCTTGGGTCTCTTCTCCGATCGGATGACTCATGTAACTAAACAACAACAGAACGGGTTTCTGAATGCCTGCTTATGCCGTTTAACGTTTCTGGACAGAAAGCTATTCGGCTGCGATATAGCTTTCTGTTTCCACGTTAGAGCTGAGCGTGAAGAAGGCTTGTTAATGATGGAGCATTTATCTGCGCTGCACCAAGGCAATCTGGGCTCTGCAAATCCCCAGTTGTCCAGGCAGACCCAACGGTGCAGCAAAGGGACTGGGCTGTGCCGTGCAAAGAGGAGCCACCATCATTTTGGCAACACAAAATCCCCCACCACCCAACCAGGTTCCTTACAGAGGGTGGGATTTGAGCCATGAAGAAGAGAAATGAGCGGGAAGATGGGCAAGACTGAAGCTAGGAGGTGGCCACATTGCCAGTATTTCTTCTTATCAGTAAGCTGGTGCCTTCCCTGCTCAATACAGAGCTGAATTTTGCCAGCAGGGAGCTAGTGCTTAATCAGGATCCCTTTTGTTTGTCCCACCTGGCCACCATCTAAGTCCCTTTGTAGTCCAACCTGGCAAGGTTTGGTGGAGCCATGTGCTGTGGACAGGGCTGGAGCCTCCAGTGGAGAGTCGAGAGGAATTCGGGGACATGTTCCTCGGGGTCAGAGCCAGACCAAGAGCATTCTGGAAAAGGCACGGTCCTTGCAACCAGCACTTGCCAATGCTTGGCTTGGCTTGAGTGCAAGAATTTCTGGGATACTCCTGACCTTGCTGAGCCTTTCTCATAGTCCAAGGGAGACAAAGAGCTTGCCTTCCTGAGACTGATCCTCTAGCAGGATGATCTACCGATCCTGCTAACAGCCTCTCTGCACTTAGCTGCCCAAGCCAGGTCACCAAGCTCAACTTCAGAGCCAAGCTCTTTGGGAGGAGGGGTGTTGGAGAGAAGAGTTGGGTCAGCTTCTTGCAGAGCCCTGCCCCAGCTTTGAACATGCAGGGAGCTGCATTACAGTGGAGACACATGAGAGTGGAGTGTGAAGGTGGACGAGCAGATGAGGTGGTGAGCTGACTCTTAGTTGGGTGGCACTGGGCTCCATGCAGAAGCACCGAGGGGGATGGGGATGGAGACTTGTGACATTCAGGTTGAGGCCCTCTCTGGAGATGTGGATTTGTTTTCTCTTTTCCTGACACAACTCCCTGATCCTCGAGCTACAGCTGCTGCCCTCCGAGCCCCCACTACTCTGTTACACACCACCCAGCATACCAGTCTTCTGGTGCCCTTTGGCTTTGAACAGGGAGTTGTGTATGGTGGAACTGGGCCTTGGCCGATGTCAGAGGCGCATGGGGGCTCTGCTTTTTGGGGGCAACCTTATGCTTCTGAACAACCCTTTCATCAAAGACTCGTTTCTCTACCTAGCCCTTCCAAGCAGACGGCTGGTGCGACACCATCAACAACCGGGCGTACTGCCAGTACGACGGGGGTGACTGCTGCTCCTCCACACTGTCCTCCAGGAAGGTAAGCGAGCATCTGCTGCGGCGCTGGCCAGGATTTAGAATTAAGTGGTGACTGCTAGCCATGCTCCTTGGCTTTGCTGACCGTGGAAACGAGACCGCAATGCAATTCTCCCACGAACGGAGAACAAACCCATGATTTTAAACCAAAGCCAGCTGAAGCTGATAGGCATCATCCCACTGATTAACAGCAGGGTTTGGACTCGGGCCAGAGGGACTGAAAGCTCAGCCCAGCTCCCACTGATCTTCACGGGATTCCCTCTCATTTTGGGAAACGAGTCCCAAAAACATGACTTCCATAGGAGGTAGTGCTAGCTGTGGTGAATCAGAAGTCACCTTGTCATATAATCGAGCAATCTCGGGGGATCTTCAGTACGGTCAGTCAGTGTCTGCTATGGACTGTCTTTCCCTCCCACTTCTCGTGAGGAGGGAAAGGGGGAAACAGGGGAGGGGGAGCAACTGGGTGATGGGGGTGCGAGGACGAGCTTCTCCCATCACAACCTCCCCTCCCACCTAACTTGTTATCCAGCACTTACAGCCCATCCTTCCTGAGCATATCCAACAGGAAAACAAATCACAGGGCATGAGATAACTTCTCACTGCAAAAATATGTGAATTTGGATCTTCTCGTCTTTGTTGTGGAGCTTGAATCATTTTTCCTTTCATCACGCATGCACACACAGAGAAAAGGAAAAATAAAATCCTGGGAAGATCCAGTTGAGATAGGAGAGAAAAGGCTTTACACCCAAGTGATGAGTGAAACATCCACAGTGATATCATGACATCTCAGAGCAAGGCATGGCTCTCAGGAGGTCTGAAACATCTGGATCTCTGGCCATAATAAAGGAGTTTGCAGTGGAAGGTGGGGGGATTCAGTCCCACAGATCCCAGGAGACCCAGCCCCAGCTCACATCCTCCACGGGTCCCAGATCTCCTGCGGCACAAGCTTCCAGCACGTCTCTGTTAAGGCAAATGCAGAAGTATGGGGTTTAAACACCAAAAAAACACTCCAGCTTCTCAGTGGCCAAGGCTGTGAAAAATCAAACATGCTTCCACAGTAAGAAAAACTCCTGGCTCTGAGCCTGGTGTATATAAAACCTCTGGAGGAAACTGTTTTCTCAGCTGCCATGGCCCATGAGTGGGCAACTGTCAACCAGGAGCCAGATGCTCTGCTGGTGCCCTCCCGCTTTGCTCTGCTGCCACCAGCTAAGGTGACAGAAGCTTGCTCGGCCACGTGCAGTTGCTGTAGAGAAAGCAATGTGCAATGAGCCACCTGCACGGGATGTCCCAAAGCAGCGCAGCTTGTGGGTGGCCGTAGACAGACCCACTGCCTGCCCCGCTGAAGGCCATTCCTGCCCACACAGCCTACCACCTGTCCGGGTTTTAACGCACAAGAACTGTGTGCATCTCCCCTGGCTCCGACATCGGGGCAGACAGCCTTGGCAGCTGGGAGCTTGGTCGAGTTCCTCCCAGAGGTGCAGAAGATGAGGCTACCTTCATGCTTTGCTAAGCCTCCAAGAGCCAGGAGTAGCCTGAAGGACAGGTCCGTGGGCTCAGACAAGGACAAGGGAGGCTTTCTAACTGGGGCCAGGATAAAACTGAAATCTAGAGGTGCCTCACCACTGCCAGCCCTAGTCGAAATGATTCACACCCACCAAGGGAGACTTCTCCCCAGGGTTTGACATTTGGGGTTCAAGACTCAAGCTGACCCTCGGCTGCAAAATTTCGAACACATGTTAACTAAAAGGAAAACGCCAAGAATAAAACTCAGCCAGGGACAGCTTGTATCAGAGCCCGGTCCTCAGCGAGTGCGGAGCCTGGCTGTCTCCACCACGCCAGCAGCATCAGGGCACAGCCCGATGCGTCTGTCTGTCTGTGCTGGGGTGCGGAGGGCTTGCAGGGACATAGGGATGGTGGTGGTGGTCCAGAGAGCTCAAAGCAGGGGCTGGGTCTGGGCTTACCTCTCCCCTCGGTCCCCCCAGGTGATCCCATTTGCTGCTGACTGCGACCAGGACGAGTGCACGTGCCGGGACCCGGCGGCCGAGGAGAACCAGTAGCATCACCACGAAGGTCCTCTGGGTCAGGCGAGCGCCGGAGGAGCGAAGGGGCCGCGACGGGGGCCGCTGGGGAGCGGCGGGAGTGAGGGGGCAGGAGGCGTGAGGAGGAACCAGGCAGGGGGACAGTGGCTGGGGACGGAGGGGGAGGGGGGAGG